TGGACCTGGGGTGATGTTCAGCTTCCTCGTGGCTGGTTTCGCTTCCATTTTGGCGGCCCTTTGTTACGCCGAACTGGCCGCTCGAGTACCGAAAGCGGGCAGCGCGTACGTCTACACTTACGTCGCCATCGGCGAGTTTTGGGCCTTTATCGTAGGATGGAACCTTATCTTGGAGCACATGATCGGTACGAACCTATCTTTTCGCGGAGAACCTGAAGGATTTACCGACAAGAAGTAAAAAATGAACAAGAAAATCGAATTAGATTGAGTCAAATATTAAATTAGCGCTAAAATTAAATCAGATTGGCAATTAATGACTTTTTATTGTGTTAATTAGGCGCGGCGTTCGTGGCGAAAGCTTGGAGCGGATACGTGCATTCGTTGAGAGGCGGTGCGATTAGCAATTATACTCGCGACGTGATGGGTGAGCGGACCATAGGAGAGCAGGGCTCCAACCCGGACGTCCTAGCTGGCGGATTATGTCTGGTTTACGCGATGCTCTTGGGAGTAGGGGTGAAGACTTCGGCAACGGTCAACTCGTTGCTGACCATCATCAACCTCGCGGTGATGGGTCTGTTCGTCGTTCTGGGCATTTATTACGCGGACATTACAAACTGGAGCAGCGAGGACGGTGGTTATCTACCATATGGTTTCGGCGGCGTAATCACGGGTGGGTTATCTCAAGTAGACTGATTAAACAAATGCGACGGAAAATATATAGGGGGATTATCGTGTGACCTCACCAATCCGCGATTTCGAAGATTATGGAGATTATAGAGATTTATATACAAGGGAAATGGTTTTTGTATCTTTTGTAATATTCTCCGGTTGAAACGAAGACGTTATATCCTGATGCGTTATTCAGGTGCAGCAACGTGTTTCTACGCCTACGTCGGCTTCGACACGATCGCGACTGCCGGAGAGGAGGCTCGCGATCCAAGTCGGAGTATCCCATTGGCGACGATGCTCTCGATAGCGATAGTAATTGTTGTATATATGCTGATCAGCAGCGCCCTGACACTGGTCGTGCCGTATTGGGAGATTAATGTTACCGCTCTGCCGGAAGCCTTTTCGTCCAGGGGTATCCCGTGGGCTAAATATGTGATAAGGCGAGCAATTTTATTTTTCTATAACTCTACTCGATAAATTTATAACATAGACGTTCTTTTCACGAAATTTTTTTATGACAAAAACTAGTAAAAATAAAAATACTGTAGGCACCATTCTTTCTTTCATCATTTTTATTCTATATTTCTACAGCGATACCAAGAGATCTCACAATAACCAAGTCGCGGTGTATTCAAATTAAAAATACTTTAATATTATGATGTATAATATATTAAAAAGATATAAAAGATAGTGTATATTATAATAAAGGATGATTTAATTAATTTTTTAAGATGCGCTAATCGAAAGTGGCTTTTGCAGCGTGGGTGCCCTTTGCGGAATGACGACGACTCTTTCCGGAACCCTCAGTGAATTGTCCCCCTCGGTGTGCCCTCTCAAAGTAAGTGGAGGGCTTAGTGCTTTAATCGCTCTGATGTTCGATCTTAAACATCTGGTGGAGTCTATGTCGATGGCGACTCTGCTCGCGTACAGTATCGTGGCGATTAGCATTATCCTGCTGAGGTATCTGCCCAAGCACGAGCAATCGTCCGGTCCATCCGAGCATCAGTTGTCCAGAGTTGGTAGGCACAGCAGTGGCTGTTCCTCGCCACCTACGGAGGAAGCGGACTCCAGCAGCATCGCGTCTAAGTCCGAAGTGAGTGTGCCGCTAGGGCTTTTGATTAAATTAGGATGCCATAATTGCGGCTCACGGTACAACTTCAAAATATTTGATTTCTATAAAAAATGTAATAAATTTTGATTCTTGAAATCTATATAAGTGCCGCCTTAATATAATAACATTGCGCCAGGCAATTCTTAGATCTTTTATAACAGATTATTAATAAATTATTTATAATTATAGCTGCGGTGCGATGGATCTAGCAAATTCAAGCCGCGATACGCCTGGATGGAACACTGGCTATGGCTGCAGAATTGCGGTACTTGTCACATGAGACCTCTCATATGCGCTTGTTTGATTATTTACACGACAAGCTGCGGCTTCCTCAGTACTTTTATGATAATAGCGTTTGAAACGTCAGTTTCGTTCACGAAGAGCGGTTACCTTTTTGCAGCGAGTTTTCTTCTGCTACCCATCGCGAGTGAGTTTATCTCAATTTTTTTCCGGTTTTGCACACGACAGAAGAAATGTTGTACTCAACCGTATTTGTTTGTTGTTTGCTCGCAGGTCTTTTCGTAATTGCCGCTCACAAACAAAATCCACCCACCGGGAAATTCCAAATACCGCTGATGCCCTTGATACCAGCGTTAAGCATTCTCTTCAACGTCGTTCTGATAATGCACCTGTCTGCAAGGACGTGGGGATGGTTTTTCATATGGATGATATTCAGTACGTTGATTATAATCATGTATCATTCATATAAATAAGATATGAATTTAAAATGCAAAACCAGATATGCTCCATATAAATTTCAATGAATCTCCATTTCTCTAATTTCTCCTCTTTCTCCAGTGGTGGTGGAATACTTTCTATATAAAAAAGACGTCACTCCGCTAAACTCACATTCCGGTTTGATGGCCACCGCAGAAGCCGAGAAAGGCACAAAGTGGGGATCTACGTTACAAGTTAACCCGAAAAGTGACAAGTCACCTATTCCGAGCGTCCAAGAACTTGTTGACTAGAAATAAGTTATACATTTTTATCAATTGTTTTCCTTATCAAGCTCGCCGGTGGAGCCGTGGAAATGGCTTAAATTTTAAAAATAAAAAACGTTTGAGCTGTCAACAACGAAATATTCGTACGTAAGACTGTATGCAATGCGAATTATAACGCAGTTTAGTGCAACGGAATACAGAACAACATATTTAATCTTTAACTTTTATTAGTTTTAATGCGGTTAACGCACAATTAATGCGCTCAGCTATTTAAATGACACAATGTGTTTTATATGTATTTATTTTTCGATTATATTCGTCACACTTGTTACTTCGGCGGCTCCACTTTACATGTTGCTTGAAATTCAAAGTTTATTGAATATATTTTGTAAATATTTTTCCTTTAGAAGACCTTTTTAACTTATGCATTTTGAACTCCTCGAGAAAGTTTTTGTCTGGTACAAAAAATCTATTTTCGTACTTAGCTTTATCTTGTTCGACAGCGATTCCATATGAATTTTAAGCTCGTACTTTTACTTCTTAGCACGATCAACGAAACATTATCGTTCTTTCCTGTCTAAATGGCTATTATTATGGCTATTACACAATCGCAAGATTAAGCGATATGTGTTTTACGAAACATTGTGTTTCGTGTTGCAACGAATTCGGAGAGAAATGTAACTTATTTTATATTGTTAGTTTATTTATTATATATTTTATTACGTACAAATTCGATCAACGGGAACTTATCATTTCTTATTTCGTATATTTCGTATATTTTAATACAAGTATCGATTAAGAATACGATAGCAAGGAAACATATTTTCTTTCTGTTGTCATGACATGAATGTGACTAATCTGTCTCGTTATCAATAATATTTAAATTTAATAAATAATAATTTTGTATCTTGATTTGGCATAAATTTACGTTCGTGCAATCGAATTTAGAATTGTTTCTTGGGAACGGATAGATCTAATGATTTATGAATCATTTATGAATCTCACAATAGACTCATTCTTATTACAATTGTGTGAGTTAAGAATAATTTATATATACGTTAAAAATGGATATTATTTGTTCTCTTGATTCAGTCGATGTATGAAATAGTTAAGCCGCAAAGGATAATTAGAGCGTAACACGCTTCGCGAGAAAGATTTATTCTGATACCAAAAATAATATCTATTTACGTAATAATGCATTATCGTTTGCAATCTATAATTTGTGTGTATTGTATACACACGTATTGTGCATGACAATATAACGTAATATCGATGTATTAAACGATAGAGATC